CTGCCGCTACCCCTGTGTCTTGGTTGATTGTGGTGTCACAAGGGGTACACAAGGTGGGCTTATGAAAGAAGCAAGTGGATTTGTGGACCCCTTGACGGACCCAAGTGGGCAACAAAGTAGATGCTTCATGTACTCATGCAGTCAAAGGTGTGCGCATTACCTTTGAGAAGGACAAAACCGTCACATTCAAACTAATGCAAGAAATGTGAGTGGAAGGAATCACTCTTTGTAGTTCATGATGTTATGGGAAACCTACGCACAATTTTATTCCTACGCACAATTTTATTGGAAGAAAAGCGCGAATCCCCAATGATGTTTCTCAATGCCATGTGATTATGGAAGAAGTGGCGCAAGCACATGGAGGAGGAGGAATTTTGTTGCTTTTACTTTTGCGGCTAGTACTAGTTCCACTTGGACGATGTACCTACGTCAAATGATTCTACTTTGAATTTGGTTGCCTTGATTGCTAATTTGCAGACTAATCTATGTGCCCCTTGTTTTGATCCTCCACCCTTGGAACGGTTGCCTTGACTGCTAATTTGCAACCTAATCTAAGTGACCATTATTTTGATCCTACACCCCTGAACCCAAGAAACATCCAAAGCATGCTCAACCGATTTTCGAAAGTTTTGGCCGAAGCACGTGGAGTGCCCATGTGTTCGGTCAAGCACACGATCGAGTTGGTTGAAGGCACTGTTCCTCGAAAGGGCATTGTGTACCATATGGGGCCGGGTGAGTTGGTAGGAAGCAAATCGATAAGATGATTGACAAATGGGGGATTAGCCCAACGAATTTGAATTTGGTGCACCTGTTTTGTTTGTCCCGAAGAAAGGAGGCGACCGTGGTTCAAACCGCATCACAAGAAAAAATGCTTATCCATTGCCACACATTGATGACTTGCTTGATGCTACAAGTGGGTGCAAGGTCTTCTCCACGATCGATATAAAGTTTGGTTACCACCAGATTGAGGTCAATCTTGTGGACCAGCACAAGATTGCATTCAAGACTCGCAATGGGCTATATGAATTCACCGTTACACCCTTCGTTCCCACGAATGCACCGACCACCTTTCAAAGTTTCATGGGCAAAGTACTCCGGGAATAGGTCGGTCGATTTGTTTTTGTCTATCTTAGCGACATTTTGATCTTCGACAAATTGATAGAGGAACACTTGAGACATCTTGAGGTGTTCAACATTCTCAAGAGAACACAACTCCATCTCAAGTTGGAGAAATTTGAGTCGACAGTGTAATCTATTTTGGACACTGGCTGTCTGTTGCAGGCTTTAAGCCTGAGGCAACCAAGGTTGAGGTCATACGCAACTTGCCTCAATTGACAAATACACGGTATTACACGTGAACTGCGTTAATTTCTTGGCCTTGCATCATACTATCGGAAGGGGAGGGACAGCGCCATATGTTTTGGACACTGGCCGTCTGCTGCAGACCGTAAGCCTGAGCCAACCAAGGTTGACGTCATACACAAATTGCCTCAACCGGCAAATATACGTGAACTGCGTTCTTTTCTTGGCCTTGCATCATACTACCGGGAGTTTGTGCCCAAATTTTCTATCATTGCTCGCCTATTGTTTAGACGAACAAGCAAAAATGTATCTTACCCATGGGGTGAAGCATGTGAGGCTGCCTTTCTCAAGCCTTGAAAGAGCCTTTGGTGAGTCATCATGTGCTTCGCATTGCAGATCCAAAACTCACATTCGTAGTCACTAAGGATGCTAGCCAGTATGGGATTGGCGCAATGTTGCAACAAGATGATGGTGATGGCTTGCGTCCGCTCGAATGCTATTGCGCATGCATCTCCAGCGAAAAGGTAGCTACTCATACATGTGCGAGCTCTATGCTTTGCGTATGGCATTGGACCTTTGGAAGCACTATTTTTTGGGACGCCACCTCTAAGGCTTCTCAGATCGAGGAGCAAACTACCTTATCCACTGCGTTCACCCGCTGGCTGCATGAGATTGACATCTTATATTTTGAATTGAAACATAAAAAGGGTTGTTACAATCAAGTTCTGACGCATTGCTTCGCCAACCTGAGTACATGACTTGCCTTGTAAGCTCCTATGACCTTCGGAAAAAAATGGAGAAACTAGTAGAGCAAATTGCCAAGAATCCGGATCTCGGTCCAATCCTTGAGCAGCTTAAGGCTGACCCCAACAGTCAACCTGATTTCCACGTGTGACGGTCTGGTATTCCAACGCTACGAAAATAATGATTGTTTGTGTGCACCCAACTATGAGCCTTTCCACACACACTTCTTGGATTTGGCTCACGGCAAGAGTGGACACGTCGGTTTTGCGAAGACGTACAGAAACTTGCTACAACAGTTTGGTTGGCCTAGTGTGTCAACCAATTAAACCATCGAGGCAAAATCCCATGGGCTGCTAAAACCTCTACCCGTTGCCGATGGTCTCGGAGAGTCCGTTTATATCGTTTTCACGCGCATGGGTAAGTTAAGTAAGAATGGATATTCGTAGGTAATGGTGATTGTTGGCCGATTTTCAAAGTTTTGAATCTGATTTCGTTGCCACCTCACGCCCCAACTGACCTTGTGATTGACCAATTCGACAAGAAGCACATTCTGCAATGTGGGCCCCTGAAAACTCGTGTGTGTGACTGGGATGCTAGGTTCGTAAGTGCAGACTACAAGGATTTCACTTCCCAGATCTATGACATGAAACTGAAGATAGCGTGAGGTCGACACCGTGAAGCCAATGGTTTGGCTGAGGAGATCAACCAGACAGTGATGCAGCTTCTTTGTGCCTTAATGATTTCCGACCACGTGGTGAAGGGGTTGTACGACAACTCCATCCTGTCTTCAACCAGTCTGACGCCAAATAGGCTGCATTTCAGCTGGAAGAATTGCAACCCACTCTCCTACTTGTTCCCTGAACAACCAGCTGGTCTGACGCCTGGCAGACCTCGCTGCAGCGCCAAAAATGACCGCTTACTCAAAGTTGCTATTGCAGCAATGACCAAGCGATAGCATGCCATGATCCATCATGCTAACAAGAAACGTAGACCAATGACCTTTAAAGTGGGAAGTTATGTCTCGGTTATGATGTCTGAACTTTTGGAAGAAGAGGGGGTGTCATGCAAACGTCTCCCTCTGGGAAGTCTTGGGTGTGGCTGGTGAAGCTACATTTGGTCTTTCACATGTCATTGCTGTACTTCCTCATCTGTGTGCGCACCCAGTCTTTCACGCGTCTAAGTTGTTTCCATATCTTGATGCTAAGCCTTTTAAGTGTTGTGAGAATATGATCCCTCGTGCAATCAATGGTGGTCACGAGATAGACAAAATTACAACTCGTACTGGTGAGGGATGTAACAGACAGGATCAGGTTCATTTCGTGCATCACCATTGGACGATCTCCACTGGATCTCAAAGAAAGAGCTGCTGCGGAGTGCACTTCGCGTTGTGAAAGTGCACGAACGATAGACAACTTCCGGTGCTGTTCTTGAAGTCTCTGCAAAACTCACTGCTACTGTGTATGGAATCTCTTCGCTGTGTTCACTTATGATGTGTTTGTCAGGGACTCAGATTGAGTTACTCGTTTGAAGGGACCACTCTTGAGGCGGGGGATAGTTTAAGGACCTGCCCAAACACGTACTGAGAACACAACTGATTTCTGAGTTTTGCCGCTGGAATGAATGCCTTGTTGAGATTCCCGCTTTGTGCTGAGTTTTCTAAGTCGGTGTGTGCGCGTGCTGGCTGCCTGCCTTAGTGCTTGACGGCTTGAGTGTGCGGGTGACCAGCAAGAGAAAAGGTTAACCGAGCCCCCATTTTTCACCTCAATTTATAAGAAAACCATAAGGCCATCCCAAGCAAACTTCACACCAATCTATAGAGTGCACTTCTTACTAACATATAATAAAAAAAATACAAAAAAAATAATAATAAAACCACATAAAACAGCAGGCAAAAAAAAAAAATAAAAAAAACACAAAATTTGACCCCGAAACCCTAATTTCAGGATCATTCATCGTTACCCAGGGCCAAAAAGTGGGGGTCCCCGTTAGCCACTTGTGACCAGCAAGGGTACTTGCTTGCTTGGGAGGCCCGTAGGGCTGGTACTTACCTGTGGCAGTGACATTGAGGGTTGCAATGGGGAAAACACTCAAGTGGTGGGAATAGGCCCGCGACACTTGAGAGCAGAGGGAAAAACACTCAAGTAGCAGGTAGGCTGGTACCACACCAAGTAGTGGTAGATGTGTTGGGTACTCGAGGCCGAGCAGAAGAGGACAAAAGTTTACATTTTTAGAGGCGCAGTAGTTGTAGGCTAGGTCTAGGCGGGTACCAGTTCCAGTAACCCGAGTCTAGGGCCTGTACGGGGGATATCGGAGTCCGCAATGATGTTTCCCTCCGAAAGGGAGGAGGCACTGGTTGCTTGAAGGCCACGTGGTTTGGAAGTCACCGCCCAAGAGGCAACTTGGCTGCTATATCTCCAGGAGGAGCGAAGTTCTCCTCATTTGCTGCATGTAAGTTCGAATGACATGCTGCTGGAGCGTGTGATGGAGCAGCACTGGTCTGGAGCAATGCTGCTGGGAAGGAGGGCCCAGCTCACCACCTTGGCTATGGTGGAGAGCTAGGGGAAAGGAGCGCGAGGGGTATTTACCTGGCTATGGTGGATGCCATCTTCATCACCTCGGTAGGCACTGCTTCTGGAAGGTCCCCGTTGGGGTAGAGCTACACCAAGAAGCTTAGAGGCAGAGTCAGGCATGGCGGCTTGAATGGAAGCAGCCATAGCTGCTTTGTGTGTTGTCTTTTGCACATCAGGGCAGGGCTCTAGTAGTCCGCCATACTTTTCTTTGGTCCTCCTGCTCCTCCTCCTCCTGCTCCTGCTCCTGCTCCTTCCTCTTCTTCCTCTTCTTCCTCTTCCTCTTCTTCCTCTTCCTCTTCCTCTTCTTCCTTATCCTCTTCCTCTTCCTCTTCCTCTTCTTCCTCTTCCTCTTCCTGCTCTTCATCTTCGTCTGCCTCCTCCTCTTCTGCTTCTGCTTCCTCTTCTGCTTCTGTTTCTGCTTCTTCTTCTGCTTCTTCTTCTGCTTCTTCTTCTGCTTCTTCTTCTGCTTCTTCTCCTGCTTCTTCTGCTGCTTCTTCTGCTGCTTCTTCTGCTGCTTCTTCTGCTTCTGCTTCTGCTTCTGTTTCTTGTTCTCCTCCTCCTCCTCTTGCTCCTTCTCCTCCTACTCCTCTTGCTCCTTCTCCTCCTCCTCCTCTTGCTCCTCCTACTCCTCTTGCTCCTTCTCCTCCTCCTCCTCTTGCTCCTTCTCTTCCTCCTCTTCTTGCTCCTTCTCCTCCTCCTCCTCCTGCTCCTCCTGCTCCTCTTGCTCCTTCTCCTCCTCCTCCTCTTGCTCCTTCTCTTCCTCCTCTTCTTGCTCCTTCTCCTCCTCCTCCTCCTGCTTCTGCTTCAGCGTCTGCTTCTGCTTCTTCTTCGTCTTCTCCTCCTCCTCCTCCTCTTGCTCTTGCTCCTCCTCCTCCTCCTCCTCTTSTTCTTCGTCCTCTTCTTCTTCTTCTTCTTCTTCTTCTTCTTCTTCCTCTTCCTCTTCCTCTTCCTCTTCCTCTTCTTCCTCTTCCTCTTCCTCCTCCTCTTCTTCTTCTTCTTCCTCTTCCTCTTCTTCTTCTTCTACTTCCTCCTC